GGCTGAGGTGGCCCCCCAGCTGGGAGCCCACGCCCGTTCACCTGAGGTCCTTGATGGACAGGGTGCCCCGGAAGTCCCGCAAGATCTCCAGGAGCACCCAGGACCAGTAGCTGCGGTAGCTCAGCTTGCCCAGGTCCGAGAGCGGTTTCTCTGGCGACCCCACCGTGCTCTCCAGCTTGGACAGCTCGTAGCCTGCAAGGGGGTAAGAAGATGTGGAGAGGGGCTCAGGGCCCTGCTTCCTCTGGACCAACCTGGCCCTGTGATGCCGGGGAAGGAGACTCACTGAAGGCAATGAGGAATTTCCCGTAGCCCCGTCGCTGGTAGGGGGGCAGAGTGAGGATGCAGGCCACGTTGTTGCCGTCCGGAGACTCTTTCTCCTGGGGGGGGGAGATGGGGCAGGAAGAGTGTGACAGAACCCAGGCATCCGGGTCCCTACTCTCGCCACCTCCCAACAGCACCCAGGCAGCTGGGCTCCGTCCTCCTGCTCTCACCCCCAAGCTCCAACTCCCCTTCTAGCAGTGGGATGAGAGGAGCCGCTCACTGGTGGCAGCAGTGGGGAGGGATATAGGGCGGGCTGTGGGGGAGGTGTCCAGGCTTGTGCCAGCCCCCCACCCCGAGGGAACCCAGGTGTCTGGGGGGCCAGCCAGCACCTTGGAGAAGTAGCCGACAATGTGGGCACCCTGGCGGTCAACCTCGGTGAGGATGTAGAAGACGAAGGGCTCCACGTCGAAGTAGAGGGTCTTATGGTCCAGGAAGAGCTTGGCCAATAGGCACAGGTTCTGGCAGTAGATCTGGGGGGGAAGTGTCGGGATGGGAGAACCCAGGCATCCAGGCTCCCAGCCCCCCCACTTCCCCTCCCCCGCCCAGAGAACTGGTGGCCGGAGTGGGATGAAAGGAGCTGCTGACTGGTGGGATTTGGGGGGCTCCCAGCTCCCCCTGCTCCCTCCCCCCCATCCCACAGAAGCCCGGCATCCGGGTGCCCTCCCCCGCACTGACCTTGTGGTCTTTCCCGTCGACCTCATACACGGAGATGTTGCTCTTGCGGTAGATCTCCCGCCCCGGGGGCTGGCGCCACTGGCACTGCCCCTGCCAGAGTCAAGGGGCGGGGTCAGGCCAGTGCCCCTCACTCCCGCCCTGCCCCCTGCCCCAAACTCCGCCCCTCACCAGGTGGAAGCGGTAGGTCTTCTCGAACTTCATGTACTTGAGGCAGTACTCGCAGATCCAGAGCTTCGGCTGCTTCCCATAATCCTCTGGGAAGGGCGAGAAGTACCAGGCGTCGATCTCGTAGTGCCCGATGTGGATCTTGTCCACGTACTTCACCTTGGTGATCTGGGGGGGGAGAGGGGGGGGGTGTCAGCAGTGCCTCTCCCTCCCAGCCCGCTGCCACTGTCCCTGCGGTGGTACCCCTTGCTCCTGACCCACAGCCCCCCCAGAGCCTCTCACCGCCTCGTGCTCTTTCTCCAGGGCGGCCGTGGTGGGGTCCATCTCTGCGTAGGTCTGTGGGGAGAGGCAGAAGGGAGGGGCAGAGACAGCATCAGGCTCCGCCCCCTACCCCCAAAGCACCCCCTATGGGGCAAAAAAAAGGACTACTGTATTGCCTCGTGTAGACCACGCCCCTTTTGCCCAGCACCTGCCAGCAAAAGGATGCTACCGTATTGTCTCCTATAGCACACATCACTTTCCACCTCTCTACAGGGGAAAAGAAAGCTACCGTATTTTCTTGTGTAGATGTGCCTCCCAGCTCTCATACAGGCCCTGCAGGGCAAAAGCAAGCTACTGTATGTTCCTGTATAGCACGCATCACTTTCTACTTCCCAGACACCCACTGCAGGGCAAAAAACACCCGAGCAAAAACAGCTACCGTATTGTCTCATGTAGAAGACACGCCTTCCAGCTCTCAGACAGGCTGGGAGCTACCGTATCTTTTCATATACACCGTGCCCTTTTGCCCCTCCCCGCAAAGCAAAGCCAAGCCACATTTTCTCGTATACAACGTACACCTTCCACCTTCCTTCACTCAGGGAAAGGGGAGCTGCCATATTTTCTCATGGAGAACATGCCGTCCCCCAGAAGGAAAAGAGAGCGGTTGTATTTCTTGACACAGAACAGGCGCCTTTCATTTCTCCCGCACCCCTGGAAAGCAACACGGAGCGACCGTATCTCCCCGTGTAGGACACGCGTGCTCCATCTCGCACGCGCCCCCTGCAGGGCAAACGGGAACTACCGTATTTCCTCGTATACAACACACACTGTGACCTATGCCCCCACCCGCCCCCACCTTCTGGACGTGGTTGATCTCATCGTGCTTGCGCTTCTGGTTGCGGGTGATCTTGCGCTCGGGCTGCTCGGCCAGCTCGCTCATGTACTGCTCCGTGTTCTTCTGCACCGCGTCCTTGACCGTCTTGGTGAGGGCCAGCCGGTTCTTGTCCACCCACTCGTCCAG